AGTTCCATGATCCAATATCATCACATAGCCTAAGCCATGTCAATGCCTTTCCCTTCAAAGATAAAGGGAAGACCTTCTTCTTGATAACATCCTCGGGCATAACTACAAGCTTAAATAATCCACAAACTTCATCCACATAGATTAGGTGCATATCGGGATGTAATGTTCCATCTCCTGTAAAAGGATTAGCTAGCAGTTTCTCTATCATACCTGAAGGAATTTCAAAGTAAACATTTTCAGTAGGTTCAGTAGGTTGAGGAGCAAATCTTTGCTCTACTGGTCAGGGTGAAGGTACCCCGAACAAGCCCCTCAAAGGATTACTTCCCATAATTACAAGTGACAGTAAATTTCATCACACTATATAATTTTTTCCTTACCAAAGGCACTTCACTCCCTGGCAACGGCACCAGAAAAGAGTTTTGATGACCCACAAGTATAGGGGATCTATCGTAGTCCCTTCGATAAGTAAGAGTGTCGAACCCAACGAGGAGCAGAAGGAAATGACAAGCAGTTTTCAGTAAGGTATTCTCTACAGGCACTGAAATTATCGGTAACAGATAGTTTTGTGATAAAGTAATTCGTAATGGGTAACAAGTAATAAAATTAAATAAGGTGCATCAAGGTGGCCCAATCCTTTTTGTAGAAAAGTACAAGCCTGGACAAACTCTTATATAAAGGAAAGCGCTCCCGAGGAGACATGGGAATTATCACCAAGCTAGTTTTCATCATGCTCATATGATTCGCGTTCGTTACTTTGATAATTTGATATGTGGGAGGACCGGTGCTTGGGTACTGCCCTTCCTTGGACAAGCATCCCACTTATGATTAACCCCTCTCGCAAGCATCCGCAACTACGAAAGAAGAATTAAGGTAAACCTAACCATAGCATGAAACATATGGATCCAAATCAGCCCCTTATGAAGCAACCCATGAACTAGGGTTTAAGCTTCTGTCACTCTAGAAACCCATCATCTACTTATTACTTCCCAATGCTTTCCCCTAGGCCCAAACAATGGTGAAGTGTCATGTAGTCGACGTTCACATAACACCACTAGAGGAAAGACAACATACATCTCATCAAAATATCGAACGAATACCAAATTCACATGACTACTTATAGCAAGACTTCTCCCATGTCCTCAGGAACAAACGTAAATACTCACAAATCATATTCATGTTCATAATCAGAGGGGTATTAATGTGCATAAAGGATCTAAACATATAATCTTCCACCAAATAAACCAACTAGCATCAACTACTAGGAGTAATCAACACTACTAGCAACCCACAGGTACCAATCTGAGGTTTTGAGACAAAGATCGGATACAAGAGATGAACTAGGGTTTGAGAGGAGATGGTGCTGGTGAAGATGTGGATGGAGATTGACCCCCTCCCGATGAGAGGATCGATGGTGATGACGATGGTGACAATTTCCCCCTCCCGGAGGGATGTTTCCTCGGTAGAACAGCTCTGCCGGAGCCCTAGATTGGTTCCGCCAAGGTTCCCCCTCGAGACAGCGTCACCAAAGACACCTTATACCAGAAGATGGGCATCGGGGGCCTGCCAGGTGGCCCACGAGGCAGGGGGCGCGCCCAGGGGGGTAGGGCGCGCCCCCACCCTCGTGGACGGTGGGTGGCCCCTCTCTGGTGCTTTCTTCGCCCAATATTTTTTATATATTCCAAAACTGACTTTCTGGAGTTTCAGGACTTTTGGAGTTGCGCAAAATAGGTCTCTAATATTTGCTCCTTTTCCAGCCTAGAATTCCAGCTGCCGGCATTCTCCCTCTTCATGTAAACCTTGTAAAATAAGAGAGAGAGAAGGCATAAGTATTGTGAGATAATGTGTAATAACAACCCATAATGCAATAAATATCGATATAAAAGCATGATGCAAAATGGACGTATCACCTACCATAATTGCCAGAAGGAAAAATGCAAGAGGGAAGAAGAGAAGGAAGGGGGGCCGAACCCCCTCTTCTCCTTCTCCAATTCGGCCTCCTGCCATAAGGGGGGGGGGGCGCCACCCCTTGTAGGCTAGTGTGCTCCCCTCCCATGGCCCATATGGCCCATATATTTCTCCCGGGGGTTCCGGTAACCCCTTCGGTACTTCGATAAATACCTGATACACTCCATAACACTTCTGGTGTCAGAATACTATCGTCATATATGGCAATCTTTACCTCTCGACCATTTTGGGACTCCTCGTCATGTCTGTCATGTCATCAGGGACTCCGAACAACATTTAGTCACCAAATCACATAACTCATATAATACAATATCGTCATCGAACGTTAAGCGTGCGGACCCTATGGGTCCGAGAACTATGTAGACATGACCGAGAAACCTCTCCGGTCAATAACAAATAACGGAACCTGGATGCTCATGTTGGATCCTACATGTTATACGAAGATCTTTATCTATCGAACCGTTATGACAACATATGTTATTCCCTTTGTCTATCGGTATGTTACTTGTCTGAGATTCGATCATCGGTATCTTCATACCTAGTTCAACCTCGCTACCGGCAAGTCTCTTTACTCGTTCCGTAATACATCACCTCGTGACCAACTCCTTAGTCGTTTGCTTGCAAGCTTATGATGTGTATTACTGAGAGGGCTCAGAGATACCTCTCTGATACTTAGAGTGACAAATCCTAATCTCGATCTATGCCAACTCAACAAACACCTTCAGAGATACATGTAGAGCAGCTTTATAATCACACAGTTACGTTGTGACGTTTGATAGCACATAAGGCATTCCTTCGGTATCCGGGAGTTGCATAATCTCATAGTCGAAGGAATATGTATTTGACATGAAGAAAGCAATAGCAATAAAACTGAACAATCAATATGATAAGCTAACGGATGGGTCTTGTCCATCACATCATTCTCCTAATGATGTGATCCGTTTATTAGATGACAACTCATGTCCATGGTCGGGAAACCTTAACCATCTTTGATCAATGAGCTAGTCAAGTAGAGGCTCACTAGGGACACAATGTTTGTCTATGTATTCACATATGTATTTAGGTTTCCAATCAATACAATTCTAGCATGAATAATAAACATTTATCATGAATAAGGAAATATAAAATAACAACTTTATGATTGCCTCTAGGGCATATTTCCTTCAAAAACATGATGCAAAATGGATGTATCAGAGCCATAGCGACCCCACAACCGACAATGCACCAGGAAGCTCCGGATCAAAGGGAGTTTAGTAATAGATGAGTATCATCAACAAAGTTATTGTATCGCACCCACCTTCATATTTTGGACTACATAGGCCCTTATGTACATGATCAATGTAATTCTTGCATCGACATTGATAAATTTGATTAAACCTCAACTTTTCGGACTAAAATTTGATAACACTTAGTTCACACATAGTCTCTTGACCATTTTTCATTAAACGTCAAAATCCAATAAGGTACTAGATGCACCTTTTCGAATTAGATGACAATGGCCAATATGAAATAAACCTAAACTCGAAGTGGCAAACACAAAAAATAAAATGAGAGATTACACAAATGGAAGTTCTCATAGTCTTCCATCTACTAAGAAGAGACCGGGTTTAATCCTTTTCCGATCTTTAGCGTATCATCTTGTCCTTTGACGGTCCTAGTCGATCACATTAATGGACACAACTCCCATCCCAAGATTCGTTATAAATGAGTATAGCGAGGAGCGAATAATTGAATTTGTGCTCAATATATCTCACAAACCTGTGACCATCGACAATGATTCTATTAATGGAATTAAGAAGTAATGGCTAAAATGATATGATAAGATTTAACGGGTAGTCACGGAAGGAGAGAAAAGACAAACATATCTTTTCCAATAATAATACGATCAATGTGGACTAATATGTTCCCACCCCTATGGCCCTCTCCTTCATTAAATTTTTTGTATCATCTTCTTGCATTTTCAAATAATTAGCACCTGTGGAGGTTGAGCTACATGTAACCCCTTATCCTCACCCCTCCAACAACATTGCTTTGAGATCTGTGCTCTCCAACTTACTATGTAATTTTTTTTGTTTCTCTCAAATGAAACAACATATGGACTTCAAACTTTGCAAATCAAACAAACTTTAGAACTTCAACGTGTGAAAAAGCATTCAGGCTTTTTGGTTTGACATAAATATACAAAATGAGACTTTTTTAATAAAAAATTATTTAAGCATTTAAAGTACATGAAAAAAATTCAAAAGTTTTTTTTTCAAATTATTGCTAGAATTTTTTATTGTTCTGAAAAGTTTGAAGTTTATATGTTGTTTCATTTGAGAGAAGCAAAAAAGACAAATTTTCCTGCACGGATCGCGATGCCGAAATGGATGGCTAAGATAAGGTGTACCATATAACTCAATCTACAGAAAACCACACTCAATAATTAGGCTATAGTAAGGAGGAGATTTAGCCTCTTTACAATTGGCGGCACATCTTCATATCTTCTTTGTCGATCCCTATGTGACCGCACGCATCGCCACCCAAATCTTATATATACGCTTTTAACGAGGAAATATTAATTAAATAAATTCTCTCCAATAATATCTTGGCTCAACATCGCTAGGTAAAAAAAACTAGCAGACATGTAGTGGCAAGACTGATATGAACTTGAATAGGAAGTGTTAAGAATGAGAAGAACAAATTTGAATGGTAGAAATAAAATTTCTCACAATCTGCCAATTAATACAGACTAGCTAGTATTTGCTCAACCCTTAACTCTCTCTCTCTCTCTCTCTCTCTCTCTCTCTCTCTCTTAAAAGTCTTCTTCTCTCTTGGTCAAAAGATAAGGGGAGTAGGGGGGAGATTTTAGGTGACTTCCAGACGAAAAGCTACAGCCCTTTCTTTATATCTTTGGTGCCAAGTATAAAAGAAGAGTGCAAACAGAAGTCAGTTGCAATTAATATCTGATTTTGTATCCTTTTGCTAGAGATGTGCATAGTGTGAAGAGAGAGACAGACGAGGTGGAGGATGGTCAGAGCCTTCATAAGGGCTTCATGGGAGGCATCAGAGAAGAAGATCACCACCATCACCAACCCACGGAGCTCCCCCTGGGCTTCTGGAGCGCCCCGCCACCACCGATGATCGCCTCTTCCTCCATGTAAGTTGATCACACGAGCTCTACGTTTTCCCCTCTTCTTTTGGCCTTTCCAGAGTTCTCTCCTTGAGTCTCCCCCCAGCCTCCACGCAAAGAGATGAACAGCACACTTTTGCTTGTTTGGTTCCATAGAATAGCTAGGAATTCACCAACTCCATACTGATATTTGTTCCTTCTGGTTCTCTGTTCTCACCTTTTGGTTTCCCCCGCTTCCTCTCTAGGTTTAATTTTATTTTGTCAGTCTCCGAAGAATTTTTCTTGTGTGCCTATGCATAGAGGTAACTAGTTTAATTAGCAAAACGACCAAGATTCTTCTACCGTCATTTGACATCTTGTGGAGTTTGGGTTTTTGATGGCTTTGAAGAATTCATACACAGACATATATGAGGAACTGTTCAGCACTCGATCATTATGTCAAATTACTTATCTAGTGATTAGTTAGGGACATGGAAGTAGTTTAGGGGCTGAGATAAGGAAAGAAGGAAACAAACTTTCCAAATATTAGGATACAATTCTTTTCCTTGTACCTTTCAGCAAGTAGCTAAGATCAAAACTTTTTTAATGGATTTCACACACCGACTCTTCTATCTGCTCCATTAAAGAAAAGTTGTGTTCCTACTTGCTTCCTGATGTATTCAACTACCGACTATTGCTTGTTTCCTCATCCAATTTCCTTTCTAGGAGCAAGGAGTCGACGAGCTACGACATGGCAGATTTCGATCAAACGGCAATATTTCTCTACCTAGATGGTCATGATCCACAGTCGATTCAGGAACAACGACGTAAGTTTTCGGAAAAAAAAACCCACTTACATACATATGCTTAATCACCCAGTTTTCTGTGTCTAATTTGTTGTTGGTTTCGTGTGTTTTGTTCCTGATGATGTGTTCCTTCTTGGTATGGATTTGGTAATTCTTCCTGTGTGAAGAGTGTGACATGTAACAGACTGTCTCCCCCCTTTGCAAGAACTTGATCTTAAAGAAGCTATAAATATTCCTTCTTTCCTCTTCTCACACATTCCTTTCCATTTGCGCCTTCTCATGCACCCTGTTGAATTGCAGCCCCAGAAGCATGCGTTACAAGTACCACATGTATTTAAGATCGAAAGCACTTTCTCCAAGAGCGATTAGTGTTAATTCTGGATTAATTCCATTCGCTCAATATTTCTAGCTATAGCTAGCTTCCAAAGCACCACGCAACATCTTTTTCTCTATCTCTCTCTATCTACGAGTTGCAGCACCTTGTTAATCAATCCTACTCCCACTTGCAGAAACTCTGAACATCTTCCCCTCGCAGCCCATGCATGCCGCCGAGCCGCTTAACCCTACTGCAAAGGTACGTATATGCGTACGTATGCACGCAAATTACACAATATATACGGTCAATTTAATTGATTTGTCATGGATGGCGTGGTGGTGATATGTTTGTAAGTGTAGATTAATGGCGGCGCAGTCATGGCGGCCATGCTTGCTAATGGCGGTAACCCGCAGCAGGCGTCTCCAAAGAGGCCTGAACAGCAGCAGCAGCTGGTGCTGCAAGGTGCCGCCGGCGGCCCCAATGCAACACCCTTGCTGACTGGTTCAGCCAAGGACAACAAGAACAGTGCCAGTCTCATCAAGGTATCTTATTTTACAATTTCTTCCTTCCTATCTACAAAAGTATAGGCAGAATATATGTAGAAATGTCCCCCCTTTCTCTCACATGTTTTTGTAACAAATGTGGCTTGCAGAAGGAAGGAACCAGCAGTGGGAAGGGTGCAACATCATCTAGCACAGACCCAGATAGGGAAGGGAACAGGAGAACACAGGACCCTAAGGTAAACTAGCTAGGCTACTGATTCGGGCAGGCCTCCTTTCTAAAGAAAAATCTTCACAAATAGTAAATATTTTGAAACATAATAATTTAATTAGTCTAAAGGTAGAATAACATAACTAATTAGAAGAGGTTTTCTTATAGAAAACTAATTAGGAGAGGGTGAACAGTCACTGTCTACAGGGCAGGCAGGCTACACACATACATACAAATGGTAGTTAACCCTAGCTGCATATATATGTTATGACTCTTGACTTTGACATGTGTGTGTATTTTATATGTGCATGTTGCAGACACTGAGGAGGCTTGCACAGAATAGAGAGGCAGCCAGGAAAAGTAGGCTCAGGAAGAAGGTGAGTCAGTCAACCAAGAAACACCGTAACTTAAAGAAACAAATTGTGCATGCATATATTTCTGTATGTACATATCTTCATAAACATACATTAATACATGTGGCATTAATTAAGGTCGAAACATATGTGTATACGCTGTTCATATGCAAGTAACGCCGCCATTAGTCAACTATACTTTTCCCTTCACTAAATAAATGGGGTTTCATTGTCTGCTAGTAGTGATTAAATGAGATTTGTGATGTAGCAGTTTTTGGCTCTTTCTTTCAGACTTATGTGCTCAGGGATATCTTTATTTTCTTGAACTTGACACACCAACTAGCTAGAGAACTATGTTAGTACTTTCCAAGAGTGTTATCGCTATTTATGTTTCGATATTCCCAGGTGCAATATATTCTGATCATGCCGTGGCTGGTTGGCTCTACAAACTAATATAGCACCTCAAGACCTATGGTTATTTGTGCCAGTTATCTCCCATTATTATGTGCGAGCAGATATAGAAATTAGACTAATTTAGTAGCAGAAAAGTAAGCTTTGTATGCTACCAAATTTCCATGCATCTTCCTGATATATTTAAGGAAAATAACTTTTCTATGTCGTTGAGTGAACTCTTCAATCAAGCGCTGTTTGAATATTTCTAGATCCAGGACGTTCAAAAACTGAAATAGAATGTGCATCTACCATACGCCTTGATGCAGCATATGTAACTATGTAAGGAACTAATTAGAGGTAATTACCTCTTCATTCTTCAGGCTTACATCCAACAGTTGGAGACAAGTAGGATTAGGCTAAGCCAGATCGAACAACAGGTTCAAGCAGGAAGAGTACAGGTAACTAAAACGGAAAGCAACACTTGCTTTTTTTTATTAACTCTCCTAGCTAGAGTTATCAATCAGTTAGTGACAACTGACAAGCTCCATGCTAAAATAACTACTGCAGGGTGTCTTGTTGGGTACTGGAGATCACCACCAAGGCCTTCCATCTGCCCCTTCATTTGGTAATGAGACACTCAAAACCAACCAATCAATCAGTCCCTTTAATTTTACGAATTACTAAAACAATCCTTTAAATGTGTTTCTAATTATGCATTTACTAGTTAACAACTCGATATTATTTCTAATATTCCACATGATATCTATGATGGACAGCTGGTATGTTTGACATGGAGTATGGGAGATGGGTGGAAGAGCACAGCAAGTTGATCTTCCAGCTCAGGGCATTGTTGAACGACAATGCGCCGGACAACCAGGTGCAGGTGTTGGTCGGTGGTGCCATGGCACATCATGAAGAGTTGCTAAACCTCAAGGCCGCGATTGCTAGGACTGACATCTTCCATCTCTTATGTGGTGTGTGGGCCAGCCCCGCAGAACGTTGCTTCCTTTGGTTGGGTGGGTTTCGACCCACAGAGGTCATCAAGGTATGCACACAACAGTTTGATTATTTTGCAAGGAATGGCCTAGCCATTCAATACCAAGGATGGTCTCTAAGGGTTGCTATTCTCGCTTAATTGAATATCATGTTCCGGGTAGTATTTCCTAGCTAGTGTATGTATTCAACCATGTGGTTTTCTGGGTGAGGGGGGAGGGAGGATTGTGGAAGCAAGTGTAGGAGGTCAAATTGTGGGCCCTTGATGAGCGAAGAGGAAGTGCAAAAAGATTTTGATGTGCAATTACTTTTCATGTTCTATCTCTGCCATTCAGTCCTCGGGTGGCAAGAGAGAAGGCGGATCTCTTCGCGCTTGTGAGAGTCTTTGTCTAGTTTGTTAGGTTTTTGTGTCCTCATGTTGTTTGTTTGGGTGATCGAGACAAAGGTATAGTGAAATAAGTACCTTGCCCACATCCACATCACAGTGACATTGGTTCCGGCGACACAACAAGGAGCATGAGCGTTGATTTCCGCAGATCCATTAGATCAGGTTGTGGGGAAGAGTCGTCAACCACGATGCTTCAGAGAAGCAGAGACAGGAGGGGGCATGGGAGAGCAGCGCGTTGCTCCGTTGGTCAGTTGTACGGGAGCGCACAAACAGCCCACCCGGGTTCGAGTCTCAACTCTCCCCGTGGTGCTCAGGTTGTTTCTTCTATTAAAAAAATGCCA